TCTTTTTCCAATGTTTTGAGTAAAACATTGGTGGCGACTCCATGAACCCTTCCTTTTTATGAAAACCGCTAATCCATGGAGGGTCCCGCTTGGGATTAACATGGATTGGTGAGCCTTTTAATAAAATTGCTCGTTTGACAAGGTCTCAGTTTGAGAATAAGTCATTCTAGCAATCCATATTTTTAAACAAATAAAAGAGTCCAACCATCCTTCGCGAATGCCGAAAGCCCGTTTCGGGCCGGTGGCGACAAAGATCAGGTGTACAGTTTGTTAACCTTGTTACCCAATAGAGTACGCAACCAATGCTCAACTACTCTAAAGGGTGAGGATACGAGCAAGTACACCTATCCAAGGGAAACAACGCAGAAGCACTAAAGAGATAAAGCGAAGACCTGGACGAAATGTCTACGTCTTTACTTGCCTTTGGAAAAGCAACGCATTACTATTCCAAAGGACAAGTAAAGAAGGGCAGTTGTAGACACCCAATTTCGTCCGGGGGAATACAAACAAGGAAATGGACCTCTGTTATAAAGGGAAGGAGCTCCCAAAGCATGCAAACAACAGGACAGGAAATCCAAAGGCCTAAAGCCCAACTAAATAGGTTTTAGTGGCCCGGAATGGGCTGTTCAAAAATCAGAATGGGCCGTTCCAAGCCACAAAAAAGGCCTAAAAACCTAGTCTGGAACGGGCCGTTCCAAAATCAAAACAGATCGTTCCTAAACCAGAACGAGTCGTTCCAAACTGCTAAATAGCCTAAAAAACCTAGTTTGGAACGGGCCGTTCTAGCAATGCATTTTTGTGTTAATCTTAACCCCAGAACGGGCTGTTCTGGTTTCAGAACAGGCCGTTCCAGGGTAAGAATTTAATACATAATGTTCATATCCAGAACGGGTCGTTCCAAATTTGGAACGGACCGTTCTGGCACCCTTCTGATGCCTATAAATAGACAGTTTGGGCATAGTTCTCAAGGGCCTCAAAAATTTCGTCCAAGACTCCATAGAGCTTGAAATTTCTCTTTCTCTCTCTCTCCTATTGTATTTCTTGAGTTTTGTGAGGCATATTGTAGTGTGATAGGTTGCCGCTAAGCACCTAAAATCTCCACAGTTAAACATTTAATAAAGCTTGCTACGAGGTATTAATCATCAATCTCTTATTTTATCTTCCTCTTCTTTTATTTCATATATTGCTATAATAAATGCAATCATGTAGATATCTTAGGGTTGTAGACCCCTAAAATTGTCCGGGTCGGAAATAGGATATATTGGTATTTCCATTATCTTTACATAATTTGACAAAATTATGATTATTTTTAATGTTATTATTATTAATTGTTTAATCTAAAATTGTTTTGTAGGAATTGTATGACATTAGTGATACTACAATATTTAAGAGTAAAATGCTTTCAGCTGTTGCTACAAAATTTAGGCAACAAAAGTCTTATCTTACCAGGGAATGAGTACATGGGAAACATAAGGGTAAAAACCCGTGTGATGAGTATAATATTGACCCTGAAGAATGGGAGAAATTCAAAGAAATTCGGAATGACCCTTCTTGGAAGGTAAATTGTGTTTATTTATTTTTTTTGTAAAATGTATATTAAATTTGTAATTTTATTTCACTTTTAATTATCGTTTTATTAAATTATTGCAGCTTGTAAGAAAAAAAGCGCAGGATATCCAGAAACTCAATAATGCACCCCACCTATTGTCTCGTGGGGGTTATGAGCTACTTGTGAGAAATTATATGAAAAGAGAACTTAAACGACTTAAGGAGGTAGCAATACAATCTGGTGCTAGTGAGGATGTAGCCATTGATCCTCCACCTCCTCCTCCACGCCATAGGTTGTGGAACATGGCTCGCACAAAAAGTTCTGGAGAGATGACTTTTGAGTCTGCTAATCAAATAGCACAAAAAATTGTAAGTATTTTCTTATAAAGTTAATCTTTCTATGTATTTAAAGATTTATTGTAGATTTTTTTTATTTACGGATATATTATAAACAAAATTTGTTTATTGTAGAATGTGTTGGAAGAGCAAGAATCACAAGGTTCATTTATTCCTGAAGGCCGTCAGGATATATTAAATACTGCCCTTGGACGACCAGAGCATCCTGGTCGTGTTCGTACAGCTGGGGTTGGTGTTACTATTGGTAATTACTTTGGACCGTTATCACAGGGGTCATCCTTATCTAGATTGAGCCCACAGGATCTTGAAGCCCTCACACAACAAATATATGCACGAGTCACAAAAACTTTAATGGAAAAGTACCCAAATATGAGTACTGCACAGTCACAGGATGTTCCTCCAGTTGAGGTAGATGATGCTATCGTGGCCCGTCCGTGTTAGCACTAAAGGCAGTTGTCAAACTCCTTCAACTGCTACTGTTCCTAGTAATCCCTTTGGAGATGAGGTTCGGCTAATCAGTGGGCGAATTCCATATGTGACTTGATAATGCATGCCAAGATCGTGGTAAGCCTATACCCAGTTGTACTACTCTTGATGGTGGAACCAAACTTTCCTAGTGTAGGTGATGAGACCTGAGAGACTAGAAGAGGGATTGGTATCCCATTTTGCTGTGATTAAACCAGCGTTTCGGGCGTGAAAATGATTGGGTTGGTTCGGTAGGGTAGAAATCACTTAGACTACTCTTGTTGTTAGGAGATCTCCGTCGGTGAATGCGTGACGACGCATTGGTCAATGTGTTTGCATATAATGTTGTATGAATGAGTTGATAGTTGAACTATTGGGATAAAAATTGTGTGGTTGTGCTGTGATGATGAGTTGTTGATCACTAGGACAAGAGGAGAAGTTTTCAAAGTTGTTCATCCCATTATGCGGATTGAGATAGTTGTGATGCTCTAAAAGCCTAGTTTATTGAAAAACCCTCCTTGGAAAGTTGTCCCTTGGAGTGGATGATGTGTTGTTCTCCTCTAGGACTTAGTTGGTTCCATGTGTGGGCAAGGTCGAGGCACACGTGAATGAAGTGACCACGGTATAGGGGTCAGGCCGAGCTATACTGATTACAAGCGGCCAATTTGAGTAAAGTACGATGTGTTGAAAATGTTGTTGCTATTATACGATGTTGTATATTTATTATTGTATGTGTTGTGTTGCTTCAAGTTACAAGTTGAAAGTTGAATTATATTGTTGTTTATTATATGTTGACATTGTTTATGTGTTGTGTGTTATATGTTGAACAAGTGTGATAATGATGATAGCGTTGTTAGATTACCAGTGTTGTAAGTTGCTTTTGAATACATGTGTTGTTGAGAGGTATGCAATACATGTGTTACTTGTTGTTGTGTTGAATATGGTGACTATTATATATGAGTTATTTATTTTCACTGTTGAGGTGTCCGCTGCGAGACGGGGAGTTTTGATCCTCATGTTAGAGTTATCATTTTGGATAGCAGTTTTGTCTGTGCTTGACCGACACTAGAGAATATTATTTTTGGGATGACTGTACATATATGAAGTTTTATTTTATGACCAAAAACTTAATTATTTTCATTTTTATTTGTGCATGTATGTATGAGTTATCCAGCTTAATATTTCTCTTAATTTCATTAACAGTAGTGCGATTCCACTAAGTGTAGAGACCATGGCGGGTCGTTACAGAATTAGGACTTGGTGTCTTCATGAGAGTTGTAGGAAATATTCTTATCTTCAGATGAGATAAGGATGAGAGTGGTTGGAGTAGTAGAACTCCCTATGAGTTGTTTTATGTGAAGTTTGTTATTGTAGAAATATGTGATTTTGATAAATTGCATGTGATACATGTTGTGTGATAGGTGAAATTGGTGAACATGAATATAATGCTTGTGTCTATTGCATGTTTTGTGTTACAAGATGATGATACTGAGCATTGATATGCTATCTTTGTATGCTTGGAATGATAATAAGCATTAGAATGCTATCCTTGTGTACTTGAAATGGTGATGAGCATTGATTTATATGATTGATATGCTATGTTGAATTAATTGTGGAGCATTGATATGCTATCATTGTATAAATTGTTAAGCATTGGTATGTTATTATTAGTTGAGATGTTAAGCATTGGTATGCTATTATTGGTAGAGATGTTAAGCATTGATATGTTATTATTGGTTGAGATGTTAAGCATTGGTATGTTATTATTGGTTGAGATGTTAAGCGTTGGTATGTCGTTATTGGTTGAGATGTTAAGCATTGGTATGCTGTACATGATTGATGTTGTTAATCTCTATATGCATTGACTGAATGTAATGTATATAGTAGATGTTTGATGAGGTGTGGATGCTAAGAATGCAATGTGGCATTATAACATGATGGCTAACTTAGGATTTGAGGAGAGAAAAATATTTTGAAAATTGAAGGTCCCGCATAGGGTATCTTGGAGTGGTGCTCAAGTAGGCCTTGTTTGAAAAACCCTCCTTGAGTAGGTGTATCTCTTGGAGTAGGTTTTGAGGTGTGTTGAGTCTCCTCCAAATCCTTAGTTAGTGGTTGAGTAAGGTAGGAGGTCGAGGACTACAACCCTTAACCAAGTACCTGGAAAGGTTTCGTGGTTCCTTGTGGATAATCAGTGGGCGAATTCCATATGTGACTTGATAATGCATGCCAAGATCGTGGTAAGCCTATACCCAGTTGTACTACTCTTGATGGTGGAACCAAACTTTCCTAGTGTAGGTGATGAGACCTGAGAGACTAGAAGAGGGATTGGTATCCCATTTTGCTGTGATTAAACCAGCGTTTCGGGCGTGAAAATGATTGGGTTGGTTCGGTAGGGTAGAAATCACTTAGACTACTCTTGTTGTTAGGAGATCTCCGTCGGTGAATGCGTGACGACGCATTGGTCAATGCTATTTGAACCGATGTAGATGATAGATCTTGTAGTAGTGATTGTTACATAAATTTGTTGTTTACCTAGCAAGCCCAAAAAGGTTCTGTGTTGTCGGTTTGGTAGGGCCTAGCCACTTAGAATGCTCACCCTGTGTTGTAAGAGATCTCTGAGTTAAAATGCGTGACGACGCATATGTGTTGATACAATGTTGATTCGTATTGTAATGTTGAAGTGATGTTAAGATGTGTAGTATATGCATTGTTTGTTGTCAGTGTTGAATGTGAAAATGAATTTATGTGTTGATGTGTTGCATAATTAATTATATTAGTTGTTTATTTTACCTAGCTTACCCTTACATGTTTTCATATGATTTGGATTGCTATGATCATACGTTGAATGAGAGCAAGGCAGGGATAAGCTGAAGAGTAGCAATGAAGCCACAAGTGGTGCTTGGAATTGGTTTTTATTTTGTAGACTACCGGTTGTTGGTAGATATTTATCTATATATTTGTATATAGTTGCTAGACCAGCAACATAGTTGTAAATATTTATGAGATGTAGATGTGTTTATATTATATTACTGCTTCAATTATATATGTATATGCGTAGTTAGTTGTGTGTTGCGTAGTGTGGTGACCGTGGCAAATCGTTACAAAATCGATTGAAATTAACTAAAACTAAGTAATAATAATTTTAAAAAATATAAAACATAAAATATGATAAATTATGAATTGTTTGAAATAAAAATAAGAGGAGTTCTAACAATAAAGCTATTTCACTTTCTACTCAAGTGAGACTTTTTAAAAAAAAATTATGATTAATTTTTAATCTATAATAATGAGTGTATTACATTCTTTTAAAATTTAATAATTTCTTTCTATTAAAAAATTCTATATATATCAATCTCTAAAAATATTAATATTTATTCAAAGAGATAACATTTTTTAATAGATGTCCTCTTTAGACACAAGCTTCAGACTTATATTTTGATTATATGGACATATGTGTTGTGATTATTTTATCAATCACGTCATAATAGTATATGCTAAATAATTAATATTATTAGAATTTTTCATATATATATATATATATAATTTTGAGAGAAATATTAATTTAAAAAATTAAGACTGACATTTAATATATTAAAACTCATTTGTAAACAATGAATTAATGAATATCCATGGATCAAGTGGATAAGTATTGAACTGATGAACCTCCTTTTCTGATATTTTTAAGTAAAAACTTATAAAACTTATCCCATTATTTGAAAGTGATAATTAAACAACATTATCTCTTCGTATTATAGCTAGTACCTGCATCATAATCTGCATTCTTTCCTCATCATAATCTTACTTCTGTCGCATCATCAATATTTCTTTCATTTTTATGTTTTATCATATTTTTCACGGTTCTGCATCTATCCACACTAGAAAGTCACGTTTTAAAGAACGTTTGTTTTGGTCAAAACTTTTGGGGTATCATATTACATTTTTAAAATACATTTCTAGAAATATTTCAATAAAAAAATGTTACCTTCAAGTATCTTTATAAAACGTGTTTAGTTATATTTTGATATTCTTTAAAATATTTTGTAGAATTTAAAATGATTTAAATAAAAAATAATTAAAAAAGTTATAAATGTATTAAGATATAATTTCAATACTTTCATAAGAATATCACATTCTCACACCCTCAACTCAAAAATAAAAAAAAATAAGAAATTTAATAAGAAGATATTTTTGATAATAAACAATACTTTAAAATAATTTTTTAAAACTCATAATAAATATGAAAATATTACATTTTTATCTACATATTTTTTAAGAATTAATATTTAATCTGTGAATCGTCCCATATACTTAGTTTTAGCTTTTCTAATAAAATATAATTAATATGATGGGACAAAAAGTTTATTGAGTTCATGTGTTACCATTGTCCGTTGATAATTTAGTGCACACTTACATAGCTTTCATCTTCAATAGATGCCCCATGATGATGATAAGATGGGTGATTACATGCTAACGCTCGTTCTAATATACATGATTCAAATATTTTTAAATTAACCAATAATATATTTTTGTCCTTAGTTAAGATAAATGTGTTTTTTTAAATTTAAAATTTTCTTTTAACCTATATAATTTTTTTAAAAATATTTTTGTTTCTCTATTTAACTTGTTAGTGAAATATAAACAAAATAGACTTATATATTTTTAAATTTAACTTACAAAATTTATTATTAAAAATATTACACTAAACTCAACTCAACTAATATTATACATTTCAATTTATAGTTGTAAATGATGTTATTAATGATCCGAGAGACAAAAATAAATATTTTTAAAATTATATGACAAAAAAATCAAATTTAAATATAAAAAATTAAAAATATATTTAAATTTAAATAATACAATAATATCCTTAAAGAAATTCATAAAAATCAATAAAGCCTGCATTAACAATGATGTTTTTTCAATGCTTTATTTTATTTTTCTCCAATAATACATAATTACATATAAAAAAAGATCTAACATAAATCACGTGAGTATTTATATTACATGCGGTTCATAATATGACTTCTGTTCTTCTAATGTTGATTTCATCCTTACAGCGTTTAATTTCTAATTTCTCAATGAATATGTTGTTGATTACATAGATTTAAACTTTTCATGGTGAATTTAATGTATTTCTTAGGTTGCTAAAAGACATGGGAGCCCTTGAAATTAGCTATCTTTACAATGATGTTCTTCTGTTTTTATTTATGGATATTCATGCAGCAATATTACAAATTTGATAATAAAAACTAATTTTATAATTTTAATTGAATTAGATTATAATATAATTATAAGAATTATAAAGAAATAAATAGATTCCACAAAATATCTTCATGGACACGCTGGTGGACATTATATTTTGTTTCTCCATCGTAGAATTCATAATGATTAAATTAATTAGTATAATAGGATATTAATCTGATTATAACAGGTGCGAAATGAAAGTTTATTTGTGGTCAATGAGCTGATAATGCCAAATTGGACATCAAATTCATTCAATATGTCATATGAGAAATACAAAACATTAAAAAAATAAAAATCAAGATTTAGCTTTGAAACATTAGCTCTTTAATTGAAAGTTCTACTTTTTCTGCCTCATATGAATCACAAGTGAATAAAAATCTGTATCTTGTTGATCATGCAGGGAATTTCGTGACATAGACCAATTAAAGCAAGCTTCAAAACTATACTTAAATACAAGGATTCAACCCATGGCTTCATCACTTCCTAAAAAGCTACATATGGACGGTGCAACCAATTTAACGTCAAAATAAAATATAAAAAAAAGTTAAAAGAAGAAATGATTTTCATTTCATTTTAACGTGGGTCCAACAATAATTGCGTTAGTAGTCATTTATGTTTGTCCTAGACATGAAATTACGGTTAAAAGTGTTATTTTATTTTTATGAGTTTACCTAATAAAAAAAATTATACATTTTTATCGAATTTCAAAAAAAAAAAAAGTAGAAGAAAAAAAATGGTAATCTGAGTAATATACAAATTCAGAATTTAAAGGGTTAAACTGATATGGTGTATGCAGGAAGTATGGATAGTACAGAGTTGAAATTTACTAATTTAGAAAAGAAGTAAATTGAAGGGTAGTCATCTGTGGGCCAATGCCTCAAAATTAGTTATTTGGGCCACTTTTATTTTGGGTCTTTCTTTTCTATTGTCTTGGGCTTAGTAGGATAAAAGTCTTGAGAGTCTTTAAATTGATAATAAAAATTTGGCTCATGATATATACACCTTCTTTTTTTTATAAGTACACTTCCTATATTTATTTTTTTAAAATTATAAAATATTATAGTTTTTTTAATTTTTTAATTTTATGTCTTTAACTTTTATTTTTTTTTATTATTTTTTATACACTTTTATTTTTAATTTTTTTTTAATTTTTACATAATATCAAAATAGGTGAGGTGAATGAAAGATAAACAAGTGCATGTAAAAATTAAAAAAAGAAAAAAACATGTGTGAAAAAAAATATTAAATTAAATATTATGGGTGTAAAATTAAAAATTAAAAAATATAAAATACAAAATACAAAATACAAAAAATAAAAAATAAAAATATTTTAAAATTTTAATTATTTTTTTTTAAAAGGAGGTGTACTTATAAAAAAAAAGAAAAAGATAGTGTATATATATCATGAAACTAAAAATTTTAATCATCTCAACTTTTACACTTTTTCATTTAAATACGATTTAAGAGAATTTTTTTTAATTATTTATGAATATAATATGTGAAATGTACTTTCTAAAGAGATAACAGTAAGACATTGAGTATTTTAGAAAAAGCAGTAGAACATTGAGTATGTGTCATGATGAAAGTGAAAGTCTAACTATTTTTTTAGAATAAAGTAAATCACATGTATTCATTTATAATAATAGATTAATAAAAAAGGATATAAATTTATAATTACAAAAATTTTGATTATAATTTATTTTTAATGTTATTACATTCTTACATTTTTTTATAATAAAATCCTAAAAATCATTACATTCATCATTCATGTAAAAGTCTTTTAAAATGTACAAAACATTTTTGTACTGAATTAAACTCGAATCCTGTACATGCTTTTAATATTAATTTTATTTTATAAATCTGAACCTCTTTAGACCAAATAAAAAACATTTAGTGACAAAAAGGTTATGCATCTAGGGTGGAGTGTAGCAGTAAGTAGGAAGTAGTTTCCCAAAGTCTCTGCAAAGAGGCACCACTCTCCAACAATGACAACATTGCCATTGCAACATTGACAATTCCGAAGTCTTGAACAAACAAAACGACCAAATGCCACAACCCTAAGATCCACCAACACAACCAAACATGGCCTTCTCCTCCCGGCGCGGCACAAACACATGGTCATCATCGTTATCATCATCATCATCATCGTCATCATCATCACCATCGATTCTCCCCTCGTCCTCCTCCAACCCCAGATCGAAGGCACAGCAACGGAAGGGGCGAAAGCGCGCGTGGCTGAGAGACTTCATCTCCGGCAACTTCTTCATCATCGGCCTCTTCCTCTGCCTCTCCCTCTTCCTCCTCATCCTCCTCCGCTTCGGCGTCCCCAAGCCCATCACCACGCACTTCCGCACGCGCTACTCACGCGCCCGCAAGCCCCTCCTCCGCCGCCCCGACGCCGCCAACCGCACCCACCTCCTCGCCGCCGCCGTCGACGTCACCACCAAGGCCCTCTACGACAAGATTGAGTTTTTGGACGTGGACGGCGGCGCGTGGAAGCAGGGCTGGAGTGTCACCTACAGGGGGAGCGAGTGGGACAACGAGAAGCTGAAGGTGTTTGTGGTGCCCCACTCCCACAATGACCCTGGCTGGAAGCTCACCGTCGAGGAGTACTATGATAGGCAATCCAGACATATACTTGATACCATTGTTCAAACACTTAGCAAGGTCAGTTCACATATCATCCTTGCTTTTAATACTTTTATTCCTATGCATGATTAGTTTGTATGATCTGCTCCAAGGTAGTTATTTTAAATGTTAACAAATTTATACTTACTTTGGGATTGAATGACCATGTAAAAGTGGCAAGGTTAAGGTCAATTCACATATCATCCTTACTTTTAATACTCTTATTCCTATGCATGATTAGTTAGTATGATCTGCTCCAAGGTAGTTATTGTAAATGTTAACAAATTTATGCTTACTTTGGGATTGAATGACCATGTAAAAGTGGCAAGGTTAAGGCCAATTTACTTCCTTGACATGGTATCGAAGTTTATAGGCCTACCGGACCCAAAATTATAGTTACTCTATGATTAAATGATAATGTAAATGTCGCAACTCTCATCTTACAAGCCAATATTGTTAGTTTAAGTCCATTTCACTTTCTTAACATGGTATTAGAGCTTATCCGCTCACATGGTATTAGACAGATATTATCAGACCACTTGTAGATGTCTAGTCCTGCAAACTTTACATACGAGATGTCCAGTTTGCGTGGGGTTGTTGGGTATGTTGCATATTCCTCATTGTCTAGTGGTATGGCCAAAGACTATATAATTGGGAACAATCCTCAGCTTATATAAGCCAGTTTTGTGAGTTAAGTGAAACTCACATTCTAAGATGGTGCTTTATTTACTTTAAATTCTAATGGGTTTTGGAGTTTCTTTTTTGAATAAGTATTGTATCCACTAACCATGTGTAGGTCTTTTACACTGTCATGTCATGTCATTGAGGATTATGTCTATAAGATTTTTGACTTTTGTAATATAATGTAATTTCTATGTACTAAGAGTATAACAAGGTTTTTATACTGTTATAATAAAAAATGATACAAGGAATGAGTCTCTTGGTAATTATTGAAAAAATCAACAAAATTGCCATAATTGACAATTTCTGATTGGATGACAGTATAAGAACCTTATACACTGTTGCTGTATGTTCTATTTACTTTTTATAATAAATGTCTTAAAAGTTATCCTGAGGATGATTTTTTTATTGGTCCAGTAAAAACATTGAACTCTTATATTTTTGCTTGTTTATTACTTCATGAAATTGTAGGTAATGACAGTTGGTTAACTTTGTGAGAAGTGATGTGAAGTGTGTGCAAAGTTAACTTTGTGACTTGTGTTGTGAGTGAAATCCGGGAAAGGTTAAACGGTAGAAGTACAATTTTTTCTGGGTTGAATGTTTGAACTAGTTAACTAGGTATATTAAGCTGCAAATGCTGCTTGTGACGACAAAATTAATATACCTTAAAATTAAATATTAATGTTGTTTAAATGTTAGATTAGAGAATAGGAGTGAGTTAGTTAACAAAAGCCCCGCTGAAATGGAGTGGTTGAGTAAATTTCTGTTGTTGGGCCGAGGTAGTCAACTTGCTGCTTTGAAGCAGCAGATCATTCACTGGGTGGCACAGGCGATAACAAATTTGGTAGACCTTAAAAGTGATTATAATTTTCTTAATTTCATTAGATTTACATGTTTGGTTGTATAGTGTAAGAGATTAAAAAGCCCCAGTGAAATGGAGCTAATAAGCTTGCCAGTTCCATAGGCAACTCTTTGTTTTAATCATGGGTTTGAGAGAAACTTGAGCTATGATGTTGACTGGGTGACTGTTCTATGTAGGATTCTCGCCGGAAGTTCATATGGGAGGAGATGTCATACTTAGAGAGATGGTGGAGGGACACATCAGATGAGATGAAAGAATCCTTCAGCAATTTGGTAAAAAATGGGCAGTTAGAAATTGTTGGAGGTGGCTGGGTGATGAATGATGAGGTAATGTGCTGATGACCTTTTGGCCCTTATCTTATTTACAACAAATAGCATTTGTAATTTTGTATACATCAATACTTCATTCCTATTGAAGTAATTGTGACACGAGAACTTGTGGAAGGTAGGTTTTGTGATGCTTTTCTTCATACTTATTTTGTTGCTCAAGTTTTTTTTTGAATTTAAGGGACTTCTTGTTTCCTCTCCTATCAATGAAGTTCATGCTCTAGTAATGTACATGTCTACGGAAAATAAGAATCTCATCAGAGCTTTCCTGTAAATAAAGTTGATTATCAGTGGCCTCTTTGTTTTTGGAAACTTGACTTTTAATTGTTTTCTCATTCGTGCAGGCCAATTCCCATTATTATGCCATAATTGAACAGGTATGTTGAAAGCTTTGTCTATTTCTGCAATTGCACATGTTATTTATGTGGAGTCCTAACAACAATCCCTCTAACACTCTTTTTAGCACACACTACTATTAACTGATAAATATTAAAAACTACAAAATCACAAGACTCATTAAATGAGAAGTGAGACTCACCAAAATTTATGATTTCTAATAACTTCCAGCCAATAATGTAGTGTGTTTAAAATAATGTTAGAGAGTGTCTTGCTAGCATTTCTCATTATTTATTTATTGGCTGTTTTGCTACAATTTTTTTAGTTGATCACTATTTAAGAAACGTGAGGACAGTCCAATTGTGTTTAGGCTTTCCTATTTTATTGTATCACTATGCATGGTATTTGGCTGGCTCACTTATGAATGTGATTCCTTCCATGCTTTGTTAACTATTCAGAAAAATTACTGTAAAGTGGATCAATATATGAATGTAAAGTAGTGATCTGTAATGTGTTATAAGTACTGGGGCATGCTACGTACCAATGATATACGTGTTTTATGGTTTATTATTTTAAAGTTGGGATGCATTTTATCCTGTTATTCATGTATCTCTAATAATACTGGTGATGATTAAAATTTAAAACCATTATTTTGCTCAATTTATAACATAATCAGGTCTTATTGTGTTATAAGTAGATTGATGAAAAACTATGCTTTAGATTTTTTTTAATAGATAAACATGTAAATTTTTTGTTGCAATAATCTGTCCTAGATGTAATTTATGAATTTAGTTTATTATTATAATTGGTATATCAGGCATCACTTTATTGCAAACAGCAATGCCATATAAGTTTTAACAACACATAAAGCCAACGGTACTGTGTATATTGATCTTGTAAACTTTCAGAGAGCATACTTTTCTTAATACAACTGAACTCATTACTATACTAATGGACTACATTGTCAAGTTTGGTATGCAGTAGTGCACTTGGTACTTATTCATTAGAAAAGAAAATTATGTTACCATGTTTCACCCTGTCCATGTTTCGTGATTTCATGTTCATATCAGACTGATCTTTTTGCTCTGGAGAACTGTATATTATTTTGTGATGGTGCTTAATCTCTGGACAATTATGAAACAGATAGCAGAAGGAAATATGTGGTTGAGTGACACCATTGGATTTGTTCCGAAAAATTCTTGGGCAATAGATCCATTTGGTTACTCATCTACCATGGCATATCTTTTGCGTCGTATGGGTTTCGACAACATGCTTATCCAGAGGACCCATTATGAGCTGAAGAAGGAACTTGCATGGCATAAAAATTTAGAATACATTTGGCGTCAAAGCTGGGATGCAGAGGAAACCACTGATATATTTGTCCATATGATGCCCTTTTATTCATATGATATACCTCATACATGTGGCCCAGAGCCTGCAATTTGCTGTCAGTTTGACTTTGCACGCATGCATGGTTTTGTTTATGAACAATGCCCGTGGGGGCAATATCCTGTGGAGACCACTCAGGAGAATGTTCAGGAAAGAGCACTTAAATTACTGGATCAATACAGGAAAAAGTCAACTTTGTACAGAACCAATACTCTTCTTGTTCCTCTTGGAGATGATTTTCGCTATATTAATGTTGAAGAAGCAGAAGCCCAATTTAGAAATTACCAAATGCTGTTTGATTATATCAATTCAAACCCCAGTTTGAATGCAGAGGCCAAGTTTGGTACTTTGGAAGACTACTTTGTAACCCTGCGTGAGGAAGCAGAGAGAATAAATTACTCATCTCCTGGTGAAATAGGATCTGGTCTAGTTGAAGGTTTTCCTTCTCTATCTGGTGACTTTTTTACTTATGCTGATCGGCAACAAGACTACTGGAGTGGTTATTATGTTTCACGACCCTTCTTCAAGGCTGTTGATAGGGTACTAGAACAAACACTTCGTGCCACCGAAATGATGGTAGCTCTAATACTTGGCTGCTGTCGGAGAGCACATTGTGAAAAGTTTGCAATGGGGTTTTCCTATAAGTTGACAGCTGCTAGAAGGAACTTAGCTCTCTTTCAGCATCATGATGGGGTAACTGGTACTGCAAAAGATCATGTGGTCATGGACTATGGAATGCGAATGCATACTTCGTTACTGGACTTGCAGATTTTTATGTCCAAGGCAGTTGAGGCACTTCTTGGAATCCGCTATGATAAATTAGACCACAGTCCTTCCCAGTTTGAGCCAGCAATAGTAAGGTCTAAATATGATGCTCAACCGTTGCATAAAGTGATTAATATTCATGAGGGTTCTTACCAATCAGTGATCTTTTTTAATCCTTTGGAGCAAACCAGAGAAGAAGTTGTGATGGTTGTTGTTGACAGTCCTGATGTTACTGTTGTTGACTCTAACTGGAGTTGTGTTCAGAGCCAAATTTTGCCCGAGTTGCAGTATCATAATAGCAAGATCTTTACTGGGAAGCATCGACTTTACTGGGAAGTTTCTGTTCCTGCAATGGGATTGGAAACATATTATATTTCCCATGGTTTTGGCGAGTGTGAAAAGGCCAGGCCTGCAAAGCTGAAAATTTTCTCTAAATCTAGTTCGGTTGCCTGTCCTGCACCATATTCTTGTGTGAAAATAGAGGCTGATGTGGCTGAAATTGAGAATCAGCATCAAAAACTAACCTTTGATTTGAAGTATGGTTTGTTGCAGAAGATACACTTAAAAAATAGTTCCCCAAATATTGTAAATGAGGAAATTGGTATGTATTCTAGTTCTGGTGGGGCATACTTGTTTAAGCCCAATGGTGAGGCCCAGCCCATTATTGAAGAAGGTGGGCAATTGCTAGTTTCAGAGGGTCCTTTGATGCAGGAGGTATACTCTTATCCAAGGACAGCCTGGGAGAAAGGCCCTGTTTCTCATAGCACCCGTATATATAGTGGAGAGAGTACAGTGCAAGGGTTTGTTGTTGAAAAGGAATATCATGTTGAGCTTGTTGGCCAAGATTTCAATGATAGGGAATTGATAGTTAGATATAAAACAGATATTGATAACAAGAAGATCTTTTATTCAGATTTAAATGGATTTCAAATGAGCCGAAGAGAAACTTATGATAAGATTCCTCTACAAGGCAATTACTATCCCATGCCCTCTCTTGCATTCATACAAGGATTAAATGGTCGACGGTTTTCTGTCCATTGCCGGCAATCGTTAGGTGTTGCAAGCCTTAAAAATGGATGGCTAGAGATAATGCTTGACCGCCGGCTGGTAACAGATGATGGTCGTGGTCTAGGTCAAGGAGTGATGGATAACCGTGTAATGAACGTTGTCTTTCACCTAACTTTGGAAGCCAATATTTCTGCTACATCAAATTTGGTTTCCACTCCTTTCCCTTACAGCCCTTCTCTTTTATCCCACCGTGTTGGTTCTCACTTGAACTATCCGTTACATGCATTCATTTCCAAGAAATTGCAGGATATGTCTGTGAAGCCACCGCCTAGATCCTTTTCTCCTCTTGCCACTCCCTTGCCATGCGATTTGCACATAGTGAACTTTAAGGTTCCCAGGCCTTTAAAATTTTTGCAGCAACCACCTGAGGGTCCTAGATTTGCTCTAATTTTGCACAGGCGACATTGGGATTCTTCGTACTGCCGGAAGGGAAGATCACACTGCACTAATCTGGCAGATGACACTGTGAATCTGTTCAGCATGTTCCGGGAACTTACAGTCTTGACGGCTAAAGCAACCTCCTTGAATCTCATGCATGAAGACCCTGAAGTAATGGGATTCTCAGAGCAGTTTGGAGATCTTGCACAAGAGGGGCATGTAGCCATATCTCCTATGGAAATACAAGCTTACAAGTTGGAAATGAGGCCCCAATAGAGCACTCATTACTAAGTTGCTTCTGCTTATTTAAGCTGAACCACGGAATTCTTGGACTGATTTAAAGATGAATTGTTATGAAAATTTTAACTGCTCCATTGATGTTAGGGATGGATTATTCTTGGACTGCTTTCTCGGCGGTGCAATGTGAAGAAAGGTCCAAGCGAAGAGGAGTAACTTTAGTTGTGGAAAGCTTGACAGTGGACTTTTGTAGATTGCTGTTATGAAGACATGTATGAGACTATAGCATCTACGGCCCCTTGTCTGTTTTTGTGCTTTGCTGTAGCATTTGTTTACTTTTTCACCGACTTAAAGATGAGTTTTGCTTTGTCCACTTGCTATTGTATAACATGTCTCTTAGAGACTATATTCATGTACAGATTTATTACCTCTATGCAGGGGAGAGTGTATTCTTATTTGAACGTGAGCTCAACACTTCGAAAAAACAATACTTGTTATTCTTCACAATTTTCAAAATAAATTAGCCAAAAGCTGACATTAAGGAACAGGTTTTAAATGTCTATTGGGAAAATATGTTAGGTCTTGTTATCTGGTTTTGGAATCAATAATAGGAAGTTTTTGTTGAATATTACATTGCATTAAAAATATAATTTTTCACTTTTGGTTACTCGGTACTTCTATGACATTGGTTGTATATCTATTATTGGTTCCACGTGATGACCATAATTTGTATTTCTCCCAAGTATTATGGATTCATTGCTTAATGTCAGCAGTTCTTGTTGTTAGGAGATCTCCGTCGGTGAATGCGTGACGACGCATTGGTCAATGTGTTTGCATATAATGTTGTATGAATGAGTTGATAGTTGAACTATTGGGATAAAAATTGTGTGGTTGTGTTGTGATGATGAGTTGTTGATCACTAGGACAAGAGGAGAAGTTTTCAAAGTTGTTCATCCCATTATGCGGATTGAGATAGTTGTGATGCTCTAAAAGCCTAGTTTATTGAAAAACCCTCCTTGGAAAGTTGTCCCTTGGAGTGGATGATGTGTTGTTCTCCTCTAGGACTTAGTTGGTTCCATGTGTGGGCAAGGTCGAGGCACACGTGAATGAAGTGACCACGGTATAGGGGTCAGGCCGAGCTATACTGATTACAAGCGGCCAATTTGAGTAAAGTACGATGTGTTGAAAATGTTGTTGCTATTATACGATGTTGTATATTTATTATTGTATGTGTTGTGTTGCTTCAAGTTACAAGTTGAAAGTTGAATTATATTGTTGTTTATTATATGTTGACATTGTTTATGTGTTGTGTGTTATATGTTGAACAAGTGTGATAATGATGATAGCGTTGTTAGATTACCAGTGTTGTAAGTTGCTTTTGAATACATGTGTTGTTGAGAGGTATGCAATACATGTGTTACTTGTTGTTGTGTTGAATATGGTGACTATTATATATGAGTTATTTATTTTCACTAGCTTACCCTTGCATGTTTCCATGTTGTTTAGACTGCAATGATCATACGATTTATGGGAGCATGGCAGGGATAAACTGGTGTTATTAGCTGATTGAGATCACTTGGTGGCAGGAGCTGGAGAGTTATATTTTGTTGACTACCCCTAGTGGCAGAATTTATTTGTAGACATTTGTATATATTTTATGGCCTGTTGAGCCACTATTATAGGATGGTTGTAGTTTTACTTATGTTGATCGATAGTATACTATTTTAGTATATATTTTTTAGTAGGGTGTTGTGTTATTCCGCAGTGTGACGGCCAAGGCGGGTCGTTACATAATGCAACACATCATCATCGCATAATCCAACACATCAACATGTTTTATTATAGATTAATACAATACAACAACTATAATGTGTCATAACATATTTTAACTAGGAGATCTTCCATATCATAGGGTGAATAATTTAAGGGGTTTGACCCTATTAAACCAACAACACAAGGTAATCTTGTTGACGTGTTAGATCAACAACAAATTGGATATCAATTCACAACACATTAACTTGATTTCTTGGATGTCACCACTTCCAAATGAAATGCAAATGAACCCTAGATGCAACTTGGTGGCCAAGGATGGAATCTTTGGGATTAGTTAGGCTACATCTAGGTGCATGATAAGACCATGCAACCTTTGCCCTCCACTTGGGCCTAAGCCTTTCTAACACCAAAAATAGGTCCAAGAGCCACAAAAAATATGTCTAGGTTTTGTTCCCACCCTAATCAAATACCTTAGCCCAAAAATAAAAACCTATGATCTAAAGCACCCCATAATACAAGGGTAAAATGAGAAATACAAAAGAAAATAAATCCTATGACTAAGATACCCCAAAATACAAGGGTAAAATGGGAAATACAAGTAAAATAAATTCTGACTAAAATACCCCAAGATACAAGGGTAAAATAGGAAATCAAAGACAAGGGCAAAATAGGAATAAAATAAATGCTATGCTAATAAAAACTTAGGAGCTAAGGTCCAAAAGTGGCCTCACTCCTCCTATGGTTTTTTAACACTAACCCATTCCTTTTGCTTCCTTCAATACATCACCTCTTGGACTTCTTGGCCTTAGTGTTATTCCATCACCTTAGGGAAGCTTAAGAAGAACAAGGAGCCAAAGATCTAGGGAGGAACTTGAAGAAGATTCACATCAATCCGGATTCTCCAACAAGTTTTCCATCACCTTTTCTCGACGACGAAAATTTATTTGTTAGTTTTATTATTACAATATATGTGTTGGGGTAGTAAGGGTGTCACATGTTGTCTTTCATCTGATGCATGGTTGACTTTTTTTTTAACTTAGACATATGTCTCGTCTGATTTGCGCTTTATGATAGTTGTACTAGACACGTCTTTGTCTGAGTATTTTATGATCGTTTTACGCATATTCATGTTCCAATTATTCTCCTCTTAACATTCAGTTTCCTACATCACTTGCTTCATCTGTCTCAACTTGTCTGGTTCATGTCTTGCCTTGATTATTCCTCATAGGCTTCGTCTAATATTTCAGTGTCTCATTCTGATGATTGTCCTCTTCTGTTCGTGAGCAGACTTCATTTTGATACTTGACTAACCATCATTTGATTCTTTTATCTAGTTTGCACAATCTTCATGGATTGTTGCATTTAATGCATTTGATCTTGCATTAAATGTTTTCTTGTTGAATCTGCACTTCTCGAGATCTTTTGTACTATTTGTTTACTTTTGTGACTGATATTAAGATGTCTCTATATTTCCCTGATACTGTTGTTGTAGAGGTATTGTCTTTTCTTGGTTGGTAGGTGTACTTGCTCTGACACATGCTGTTTTTATTTGTGGATAAGCGCTCGTCCATTTGTCTTATCTTTCTTCTTTTATTTTGATGTCTTTATGTATTCTTCCGAAAGTGTGGATGTTAGGTAGTTCGTCTCGTTGTGTCTTCAGACGCAATATAGCTTTCTTGATCTTCGTATGTGTATTCGAGCCTTCGTCTATTTGGTTGTTGTAAGTACTTGACTCCGTCTAGGGTGCTCTTGCTAGGATTTGCCCGTCGTCCATGGGCTTGTATCGTCAGAGTCTTCATCTAATGTATTCCATTTATTTGCTCAGCCTTTATCCAATGCTTGCCTCACATCTCCTTGATTCTGGTATAGATGTATATTCGTATTCATCAGTTTACCTGTACTTGTATCTGAAACACTGACACACTTGTTAGTAATAACAATATGTATTATATTTGTCTCATTCTAAACCTTGCTAGGAATTGTTTTCGTCTTCGTCTAACTTAACACTTTGGAGCTTATCCATAAGCTCCATACTATAATAAGAAGGAATATGCCTTCTTCTCATAGCACTCCTCAAATCATTCTAATATTGTATGGGTGGGTCATTGTGAATCCTTCTTTCCCTAACTAGGGCTGTCCACCAATAGATGGCTTGTCCTTAGAAAGCTTAGGTGGCCAAGGGAACTTTCCTTTCTTCCCCTACTTGGAGATAAGTGAAGATTTTCTCCACTTTAATTTCCCAATCCAAGTAGGCATCCACATCTTCTTTACCATGAAAAGAAGGGAGATCAATTCATGATTCCCTTACTTTTGGCTCTTTAATGATTCTCCTAAGGGTAGATTGATAATATTCATCTAAGTTCATACTTCTTACCTCCTCAAGGCTTGTGGAACTATCTTTTTGTTGTTTAACCAATCAAATTCCCTTTTCAAGAATAGCAAGGTGTGCTTCTCTTTCAATTCTTACTTTTTCTTTAGCAAGCACCTCTTGTTTCTTCCAAAGTTTTAGTGCCTTAAGCTCTTGAACAATATGAGAAATACTTTTTGGAGAGCTTGAGTCACTACCACTTTGAGAATGTTTGCTCATGGTTAAATTCCAAGAAGTTTTAAAAAAGAAATTAAAATTTTTCTTTTGTGGAGCAAAACTAAACACTTAGTGAGGTTAGCGGAAATACACATAGAAGGGGGGGTTGAATGTGTGTGTTAGGATTCAAAGGAAAGTTTTAAAATTATTTTCGAAAGCGTACTTTGGTTGGCAAACTTAAGCATAATTTTCTTCTAGTGATTTTCTGTTGATCCAAACTAATTTTCAACGTAGAAAACTAAGTAAATTAGGTTTCCGTCTGAAATATGTTTATCGTCTAGTAATATGTTATTATTGGTTGAGATGTTAAGCATTGGTATGTTATTATTGGTTGAGATGTTAAGCGTTGGTATGTCGTTATTGGTTGAGATGTTAAGCATTGGTATGCTGTACATGATTGATGTTGTTAATCTCTATATGCATTGACTGAATGTAATGTATATAGTAGATGTTTGATGAGGTGTGGATGCTAAGAATGCAATGTGGCATTATAACATGATGGCTAACTTAGGATTTGAGGAGAGAAAAATATTTTGAAAATTGAAGGTCCCGCATAGGGTATCTTGGAGTGGTGCTCAAGTAGGCCTTGTTTGAAAAACCCTCCTTGAGTAGGTGTATCTCTTGGAGTAGGTTTTGAGGTGTGTTGAGTCTCCTCCAAATCCTTAGTTAGTGGTTGAGTAAGGTAGGAGGTCGAGGACTACAACCCTTAACCAAGTACCTGGAAAGGTTTCGTGGTTCCTTGTGGATAATCAGTGGGCGAATTCCATATGTGACTTGATAATGCATGCCAAGATCGTGGTAAGCCTATACCCAGTTGTACTACTCTTGATGGTGGAACCAAACTTTCCTAGTGTAGGTGATGAGACCTGAGAGACTAGAAGAGGGATTGGTATCCCATTTTGCTGTGATTAAACCAGCGTTTCGGGCGTGAAAATGATTGGGTTGGTTCGGTAGGGTAGAAATCACTTAGACTACTCTTGTTGTTAGGAGATCTCCGTCGGTGAATGCGTCACGACGCATTGGTCAATGTGTTTGCATATAATGTTGTATGAATGAGTTGATAGTTGAACTATTGGGATAAAAATTGTGTGGTTGTGTTGTGATGATGAGTTGTTGATCACTAGGACAAGAGGAGAAGTTTTCAAAGTTGTTCATCCCATTATGCGGATTGAGATAGTTGTGATGCTCTA